CGAAATTCTCATGGTGGTCTGCAAAAAGACCTTACTGGTACATTATTTAAACTGTTATGTTTATTCATCTCATGATCTGATCACCATGCTCAATATATCTCATATGCATGGGGGTATTGGGATAACTGTTGGGTTTCATCCCTGACTGCACAAGTCTCCAGCCCCCAATGAGTAGATAGACTAGATAAACTTAGGGATTCCTCCCAATTTCCTGTAGTTAAGTTGGTTAAGAAGGGGTTAAGAAGGGGGAATTGCCCTTTGCATGGTACTATCTCCTCAGCATTTGAATACCTAGGAATGTAATCCTATAGGGAAAACGTAACTTCCTCTTTTAAAGGTATCTTTATTGCCCTAGGCTGGGCCATGTGGCCTGTCTCCATTTTCAGGCTCTCTTCCTTTTGTCCTCCATAGAGTGAGGAAGCATCTTGCTTTTGTCCAGCAAGGATGTAGTAGAAATAGTTACTTTTATTATTTTTCCTTTTCTTTTACCTTAGATGATAGCTCAGTGAAGCTAGTTAGCTCCAAGAACCTTTCCTATCCAGAATGGATTTCTTTTATCTTTAATAAACATATTATTTTGATCCTATGAGTTGTGGATCTGCAATCCTGTTCCATCCTGCTGAATGGAAGTCAAACCTTGCTCACTACATGTAAGTTTCTGCTGCTTATTTTCTGTGCACCCTGCACTCTGCTATATTTTTGGTGGAATCACCCCCAGAGAGGGTTATTTTTGAGCCTAACAGCTCTTGATCCCCAACAGGATGATCCAAATGCACTGCTTCCAAGCTGCAAGATTTCAAGCACCCGCCCCCCCCCCCACCTCGAATCAAACTCCCCCCCCCCCCCCCGAATCAAAATCCTGACTTCAGCAATTGGACTTGTAAAACAAACTGCTCTTTAGTTTGCAGTGACCAACCACAAAAACAAAACAAAATAAAGGCTAGTGTGGGAAAGCACGTGCTACAAAAAAGAGAGATGTCTTTCATCACTCAATGGTACACATCTCCTCAAAATGTGCTGCGGTTGGTTATCTTGTATGCTGATCTTGACATATTGTTTAAATTGGGACTGATTCCTTTTATTTATTATTTATTTACTTTATTTCTCAGGCCCTCAGGCGACTCAAAGCGGTGAACAACATCAGTACAAAACATCACAAAACAAGTATAGGGCAATTAAAAACAATTATCACATAAATCATTAAACATCAGTATAACAATCATTAGCGCCTCAACAGTAAAATCAGAATCCAGTCTCATCATCCATTATTCCGTATTCCTATGTTCAATTACACTGTTTAATCAAATGCTTGTTCCTTGGTTTTTTTTTCAAATTGAGTGAAGAAAGTTTCCAATCTTCATTAAAAAATGAAATTCTACAACTCCCAAAAGATTATTGGGTGCAATAATAATAATAATAATAATAATAATAATAATAATAATAATTTTCTCACCTGCCTCCCCTCAAGGCTTGAGATGGAACACAACAGTTAAAAACATATAATTATAAAACATTATGTAAAATACATATATTATAACATATTTCTATGAAATACATATATTAAAATACACAAAACAAAGACTAAAATAGTCTGGCTGCCATGTTTTAAACTATAGCAGCTACTGTAGTATATCCTGTTTGAACAAGACACTCAGAAGTGAAATGCAGGTACTGGCACTAATGCATTAAGAACTCAACATAAGTTGATCTGTTAATAATTTATGGTTCAATCACCAAAAATGTGATACTGGAATCTCTCCCTGGAATATATTCAATATCTTAGGGACTGTAAAGTGATTATACATTACCTAGTTTTTTGGCAAGTTTTGCATCCTTCTTGGAATCCACTAATCCAAAACCAATGCCTTTATCTTCTAGAACTTGTGCAGCAAGCTGAAGGAAAATCAACATACAGTTGTAAGTCCAGTGACATGTTTCTCTTATTACAGGTTGAACATCCCTTATCTGAAATGTCTGGACTAGTAGTGTCCTATATTTTGAATTTTTTTTCAGATTTTGGATATATGGGGCACATATCTAAATGTGAAAATCATTTATATTTCATATATCCCTTAAACATGTAGCCTGAAGGTAATTTTATACACAATATTTTTTTTAAATAATTTTGTGCATGAAACCAAATGTTTCACTGAACACTGAACCGCCAAAAAGCAAAGGTGTTGCTATCAGCCACCTATGTGGACCATTTTGGATTTTGGAGTCTTTTCGATTTTGAAATTTTCAATAAGAGATACTCCACCTGCATTACTGAATTTTAATTTTATTATACGAGAGGTATTTTTTAAGTAAGGTCCGTTTGAACATAAGTACACAATGAAAGTTTATTTCAAAAAAGTAAATTTATTTTCAGAAAGTACATACTTCACTCTATTTTTCAACATAGTTGCCAAGTTTGTTCAAACACTTATCATACCTCTGAACCAATTTTAAAATACCCTCTTCATAAAAACTTGCCGCCTGCTGAAGCCACCAAATTGTCTGTAATCAAAGAAGGGCGACGGGAGCGGTCCTCATCATGGACGTTGTCATGGCCATCTTTGAATTGTCGTATCCACTTACGCACTTTGCTTTCACTCATAACAGTATCACCGTACACTTCACAAATCTGATGAATTTCTGCAGCAGGCAGGTTCCTTGCTGACAAAAACCGTATCACTCAGCGAACCTCACATGCAGCGAATGAGTGGATAGTCTTAAACATTTTTAAAGCACAGAACAGAACCGTACAGGTTAGCTACAGAGCAGAAACTGAGCACAGTTGTTCCCGAGGCATGCCGGTACACGACGCACGTGCTCGTTGCGGTATGTGCGCGAACTACTAGTGTCTACAACAAAATGGATCTTACTTAAAAAATACCCCTCATATTTTATACAATTAACTATATTTATGTAATGCATTTATTTTATTTATACTATTATTATGATTCACTATTAGATCTTGTTATTACTGTAAACTTATATTGAAGGTGAATGATACACAAAATGGCTCAAAATCACTTTAACACCATAGCTTCCTACCACAGAATCCAGGGATTTGTAGTTTTACAAGGAACTCAGAATTCTCCACTAGAGTGCTTTTTCTAGAAGAGAGATGTTCAGGATTTCTAAGAATCTGGCTAACTTAATTGACATTTTCCAA